TGTAAGATGTATTTTTATTAATGATGAAAATGGAAAGCCAATTTCAAAATCTACCTAGAAATTAAATGATTTCATATTCAAATAATAAATTTTTTAATAATAGAAAATATAAAGAATCACAAAAATAAAAAAAAAAAGATAAGAGAAAATTTTGTGCACATATCTAATGTTATATATTTATAAAAAATAAAATATTGGGTACATCTCTAATATTTTACATTCATTATATTGAACAAAAACAAGTTTTGTACATAAGAAATAATTTTATCAATGATGGAAATGCAATACAAAATTTAATGTCAACCTATAAATCAAACAATTTTTTTTTAGATGGTGGGTTAGTGGTTTGAGTAAAATGATACCATAGACAAATAAAAATGAAGTGTGATAAGTAAAAAATATTTTATATAATGTAAATGAAATATATAATTTAAAGGGAAAATTATAGTCAAAGTCGATTGTACATTTAAAATTAGGTTGCAGGTTGGCCTAGAAACCAACCAAACTCTGAAATTGGCTCTACATTTCAAATTATAAAAACCCCCGCCATGTCATCAGAGGTTTATGTGGCTATTACCAACATGGGACTCTTATTCCATGTTGGACACACCAGAAAACCTATATCGAAAATAGGTTTTCAGTTTCTCTCCCACTCCCTCTATCTCTTGATCTCCCTCCCTTCTCTCTCACTCTCATAGTCATCTCTCGATCTCCCACTCCCTCTATCACTCCTACTCTCTCTGCTTTAGTCTGTAGACAAATCAAAACATCTCTCTCTATTGTTCTCCCTCAATCTCTATCATTCTCCAATTGGTTTAAATTTTATAGCCAAGAGTTTCTTGTGAATTTTATCAATTTGGTGTAATAATTTTTTAACCTTACCAAGTTGGTCTTATGTTCTTTTATACGATTTGATTAATACCATATAAGTGTATAAGAAAATAAGAAAATAAAAAAACAAGAGATGGAGAGGCAGAGAAACTGAGGGACAACGATAGAAATTAAAGGAGAAAGAGAGATCAACCGAGAAAGAAAATGAGAGAGATTGAGGGAGAACGATAGGTAGAGAGAGAATGAGAGAAATTGATATAGAGAACATAAATATAGAAACCAAAAACCATTTTTATTTATTTTCAAATCACATAGTCATTAAGTAAATAAAGATGACTGTGAGTGAAAAAGTGTGAGGGAGATTGAGAGAGAGAGAGAGAGAAACTAAAAACCCTTTTTTTTATTTTCCAATCACCCAACATTAAAGGGCAATTTCAGTATAAGTTTTTTATTGTGTCCAACATGGATTAAGAGTCCCATGTTGGCAATAGCCACATAACCCTCCGATGACATGGTGAAGATTTTTATTACTTGAAATGTAGAGCCGTTAGTTAGAGTTTGTTTGCTTTATGGACCAACTTGTAACCAAATTTTAAATGTACAGCCGGCTTTAGCTATAATTTTTCCTAATTTAAAACTAATCAAAATCCAATGCTATTTCTTATCTAAATGGTGGGTCAATGATCCAATTTTTCAAAAAAATGCATGATGTTATGATTGAATAATAAATATTTAAGTTTATTTTTAATCATATCGTTACTTTTTTTAATTTCCTAATTTAAAACTAATCCAAATCCAAAACACATGTTCTTAATTACTAGTGTATATATGTACATGTATATACTTCTGGGCTGAAAAAGAATAGGGAAGTCAAGTAAATGATCATCCCTATTCACTTTATCAAGTAAAGAAGTTGGCACTTCTATACATACCTGAATTAAATTATACAATCTTTTTGAAAAAGTTGTAAAATATAATAAAGAAAGCCATGGATGTACTTGTCTCAAATGGCAATAATATATAATATATACACATGAAAAATCAAGACTTGGTTGACTTGTCATCAACTTGAACTATTAACTTTTCATAGAGACGTAGTCAGCTGAAAAACTTGAGTCTAGATGCACACTTAGTGAGTTCACTGATTAAGCGCATAACCAATCATGTTAACACTTATCCTTTAATACCTCCCAGCCCACTTTAAACACATTTGGACATGTGTGAGTAAATTGATTATGTACTTAATATGCTACACCACATTATATCTTAAAAAAGTGGTGTTTTTAGGGCATGATTTTGAGATTTCAACAAGGTTGAATTCAACCAATTCCGTTAAAATCTGTTTATTTTTTATTGGTTTATATTTTATAAAATGTACTGTTATATTTGACAAGAATATATTTATTGATGACAGATAATTTTGTCTTCCAATGATATCGTGACATGTGGCACTACAAAATAGTAGAATGACACCTCGGCATTATGTAAGTAGACCTTAGGAGCACTTCGGACACTTTACAACTGCCTTGACAATGTCGATACCATTTCGGTAGGCCGAACTGCAAACAACTAGGCATGACCTCAGGTCAGTGCAAGAGGCAACTTGCTTCCACCAATTTGACCTGACTCCGGTTAGTGACCTACCTGACGTTTCGAGCGGGATTAGATAAACGTTACACGCTTATGCAGAGTCCACCTCCAAACTAGATGTGCTAGAGATCCCAGACGCGTTCTATGAGGTTTATGGCAGCTCGCCTATATAAAGGCATCACCTCCAACTTCACAAGATACGTGAGATTTAGCTCTCTAAGCACTCTAACTCTCTTTCTTACAAACAATTACCTGCTCGCTGACTTAAGCATCGGATTGCCCACCCTGGGTCAAGCAACCTGGACACTCTGATCTGTTCTTTTTACAAATTGAACAGGCAACCTCACTAGCCCAACAACCGAGCTGTCTGCCAACAAGGAGCACTAGATCGTGCATCATCAATTGGCGTTGTTTATGGGAATGCTACACAAAAGACGTATTCTCACATTCTCTCCCTAACTACACCTTCAATGGCATTTTCCAGCAACACCCCCATCAACAACAACGTACGTGCTAACGGAACAGTCATAGGGGCAGGACCAGAATGCCATGCATTTGAAGTCCCCTTTGTTACTATCGGGCAGTTCATCGTACCCTTGACCTTACTTGGAGTCCCTATCATGCAGAACCCTAACCGCCCTTTGCCCACTATGAACGTTCTTCTTCCATCGGCCGAGCCCTCAATGATTCCTGTTGGAATTGATGGTCGATAGTTCAACAAGATGGTGCAGTTCATTTGCAAGATTAACCTGCATATGAGAACATGGGAAGGTCATTTTGTTGCCTTAGCAGGGATGCAACAGTAGCAGTAGCAACAGCAACGCCAACAACATCAGGTCGTCAAGCAGAACACCAACTAGAACCATCAGCTCGATGACCAAAATCAAAATCAGAATCAGAACCTAGTACCGGACCCACCTCGTCGTCACAATGACCAACCAGAACCGAGTTGTGACATCCAAGGCTGCCTCGTTCCGATTAACAACATGGAGGCGGAAAAGAAAGAGGAAGAAAAGAAGGAGGTGAGCTAGGTCAGCACCTTGTATGCACAGTTGGTGACCCGAACCTCGCCACCAGCCATGGAAATCCTCATTGCCCCATGGCCTAAGGATTTCAAGGCCCCCCAGCCTGGAGTCCTATGACGGAACCATCGACTCAGTTGACCACCTTAATAGCTTTCAGGCCTTGATGCAACTACATGGGGCCAATGACACGAGCCTCTACATGGCCTTTCCGACCACCTTTTGGGGCACAGCTCAGATGTGGTATTCGGGGCTAGCCGCGGGATTCATTAAGAGTTGAAATCAGTTCGCTGACCTCTTCACCACACACTTTGCAACGAGCAAGCGATGCCTGAAATCGGTGACTTGTTTATTGAACGTGGTCCAGCAATCCGACAAGAAGCTTCAGGACTACATCAAGCAGTTCAACCTAGAGTAGCTTCAAATCCCAAACCTCGACCTAGCCGTAAAGCTCACCGCGGTAATCAATGGCATCCGACATCCTAACTTGCGCTGGGAGAGTTGAACCCCCCGGCCTCTATGGAGGAGTTCCTTAACCAGGCCACCACGTTCACAAAGGCTGAGGAAGCGCTCGGATCCCGGTTAGAATTGAACGTAAAACGGAAGGCATCTAATGATGAATCCAAAAGAAACAAGTAGTGGCGGAAGAGTAAGTAACCAAAATGAAGCAAGTCAATCCCCACGTAACCGGCTTAACAGGTCGCCACGGAAAAGAAACGGGTCCCCCTATATAGTTAGAGTTAGAAGATCCTCATGCCGGTGCTCTCGCATCCCTCCCATTCAGAACCGCAACTACACGAATATATTTTAACCATGAGGTTGTACCAACCCCGTCATTTGGTGCACAGTGCGATAGATACACCATAGATTTTGGATTATTGCTTTAAAATAATGGTGGACTTCAATTTGATTGAGAATCTGGTTGGTTGATGAAAGAATAAGAGAGGGAAAAGGAAAAAAAGTCTTTTGAGATTGGATAAATTCAAGCTCCTCCAACTCAACAGATGCTCCTCCACGATAGCTATAGCCTATAGCAGAACATCCATGACTTTTTAAAGAAAAAAGTTCAGATTACCATAATGCCCTCAACCAAATAAACTTATTCCAGGGAATTAGCTAGGTTGTGTTTCCACTTTCCAATTGCCTACATTCTGTCTTCGGAATCCAAATGACGTCCACCCACCCTTGTTTTGAGTCCAGTAGTTCTAGCATATTATATATATATATATATATATATATATTTGACACCCTCAAATCCACTCTCAATTCCCATTCCAGTGGTCTCACATACATAAAAGTATGCAGAAAGTACTGTAGTCATGTTTTTGTTTTCCGCATTTGGAGATTTGCAGAGGTGCAATATTCCCTGAGTTGTGTAGTGCAGCGGGACCAGAAGAGGTCGTTATCAGGTGATGGTCGAGCAAAATATCCGATCCAATCCACCCAAACATTTGCTCTCAGCAATTCAATTTGCCCTCTCCACAGTTGAAACTGCTCTTATTCCCCACTATAAAATGACACACCATTGCAGCTCAAGCTCATCACCACAGCAGAACAATCACTTTCTCTCATTAACTCTGATCTTGCCCACATTAATTTCCTTCCATAGTTTCAGACATTTCTGTTGGGGTTTCCAGCTACCAATCTCCTGCACTGCCACCCACCATTTTGTTGTAGTTGATCAGCTCTATCCGTTAATTACTGTTTTTTTCTGGTTAAACCAATGGAGAGAGTGATGAAACTGGCGTCGCAGAGAGCAGTGGTGATCTTCAGCAAGAGCTCTTGCTGCATCTGTCATACCATCAAGACTCTCTTCTCCGACTTTGGGGTCAGTCCCACTGTCTACGAACTGGACGAGGACCCTCGAGGGAGGGAGCTCGAGAAAGCACTGCTGAGGCTAGGATGCAACCCATCGGTGCCGGCCGTGTTCATCGGCGGCAAGCTGGTGGGTGGGGCTAAAGAGGTCATGACCCGTCAGCTGGATGGCTCCCTGAAGGAGCTTCTGAAACGAGCTGGAGCTCTGTGGCTTTAATTAACAGGCCATTTCTCAATTAATCTCAGAGCCTAGCTTTTAATGCCTTTTGGTAGAATCAAAGGAATAAGGCCAAGTCGATCAGCTGGCCATATGAACATGTTGATGATGTTGCACTGCATAAGAGTTTTGTTAAGACAGATGATGAGTTGTGACCTTTGCTCCATTTTCTGAGTTTCCTGTTCTCATCATCATCATCAGCTCCCCTTTTTGAATGTACCCCTTTTTGGATTACTACTAATAAAGGTGCAACTTTTCTCTTAGAACAACAGGAATTAATGTGTGATATGCCCAAATACACACCAAATATAATTATTAAGTAAAATTGTTCTGATAGAACCCAGCTGGAATTCAAATTATTCAGCAGTTTGTGTGTGACGAGTACTATTACCCTCCTACCACTGCCTAATTACACTTCCTCTACCTGATTGATGCAAATTTTGCACTTCCAGAAATTGATGTAAATTTGCAGCTCATGTGGAGGAGTGAAAATACGCTTCCTATAATTATCCCTCCTCCCCCTTTATTTGTCCCCTCCAAACAAATAGAAAGAGTGAATGCTAAACTAAAACTGAACTGAATTTCATCCCTGGGCCATGCATTTGCAAATGAAATTTGTGCTTGAAAGAAATGTAGTCTACACTAACCAGAGCAATAGCAAGACAAAAGCTGCCTTCTATCCACACCTATATATAGCTCAGTTTGGAAGGAGTACAAATACAAATTTATACAGTGCAAATGCATATAAAAAACATGATTTTGTATTCGAGTCCAGATCTCTTGCCCGCGAGAACCCTGCCTACAACACACTATCCCCCGTGAATTGGGAATATCTCCCCCTGTATAACACTTTGCATTCTACATATTTGTATTTGTATTCCTTCCAAACTGAGCCTATGTGATAATCCGCATGTTTCAACCAATGGAACTATACAAATCATTTTCGCTGCCTTAGTTCTAACCATTTGGAGTTGAGCAAAGAATGAATTCATCAGAAAAAAATTTCCCCATTTCAGTTTCAAAACAGACATCGTAGAATCCTTTTTGGTTCAGTTTTGTTTGCAGTGGGAATTTCATTTGCACTAAATACATTGGTGTGTAAATAGGCTGGGTGTAAAGTCTGATTTGCCTTTGCTTCAGCTTTGACTTTGTTTTGTTTAATTGTTTGATAAGTAAAATGATGCGGTTATCACCTTATATGAAAGAAAATGGAGGTGGGAAAGAGAATTATTTGTTTAAGAGTGAGTAGGAAGCAACATGTAGACTCTCACTTTATAAGAGAGAATTGAGGTAGGAGGAAGTTGGTGCAAATTTTGCATTAATTTTTGAGATTTAAAATTTGCACTGCCAATGAATGCAAATGATGTAAAAAGGAACAAATTTATAATAGATATGGCTTCAGAGTGCAAATCATAATTACAAACAAACAGATGCAAAACCAAACCAGATGTAAATTTTGTATTGGGTTCAAATTAAATTGAAAAACAATGTTTTCCAACTGCCATTGACCTAGATGATTGAACCGTTTAGCCTGGGAACTGCCCAAACAACCGGTTCCGTTTCACCCTCAACTCAATCCTTGGCCAAAAACTTGGAGCCCAGATTTCCTACTCACTTTTCCTGCCCACTCTCTACCCGCCCTGAATTACAGCCACACATTTCTCAATTCATAATAGAGATGTGTGGCTCCAATTCACGGCAGATAGAGAGTGGGTAGGAAAAGTGAGTAGGAAATCCCGAGTGGTTGATTTGATCAACAACCCATTCAACGGTTTTAGTTGTTTTTTATTTCAATTATTTTTTAGGTCAGAATGGGCTGTCCATTCGAACCAGATGGTTGAAATGTTAACCCATAAACCGGTGTCTATAAGAATTCCAATTTCGTGTCGGTTTTTAAAACCTTATTGAAAACAAACAGAACCAAATTAAATCTTTTTTTTTTCATTTGCTTTTTGTACAATTTGGCATACACGTACAGCACACAGATTCAATCCCCACATGAAGCGGAAAGAAGAAGAATGTAAAGAAAGGAGATGAACCACATGTGATTAGTTGAATTGCCGAAGAAGAAAGGAGACACGAGAGTAATATTGTGCTCCATATCAGAGATTGTTTGAGAATTTCTCTGTCTTGCTTTTTACCCCCGGTATAAGGATTTTGAGATGCAATAATCTTTCCTTTTCGCATAAAGATAAAGCCAAGCATAAAATGGCCGTCACCCTTTTATTCTCTCCTCTTCACACTACCTTTAAGCTTTAAGCTAGAGAGAGAGAGATGTACCGAGTTGTACCTAGCCAATCCCAAATTAATCAGCAGCCTGTGATGCCAGGATCCGAGCCCGCGTTATCAAATATAATAAAGTTGACGTCCCACTTGAACCACACCAAGCTCTTTCATGCAAAGTGGTGGTCTGGATCAACAGTATGCAAGTTGCAACTTACATAAAAGAAGTGATTTGTAATAAGTGAAAGAGATTAGAAGAGTTAGGGATAGACAAAAGAGGACATCAATAATAGTAAGAAATGATTTAAGCACTAATAATTTAACAGTGGATATAATTTTGAATAGAACAGATTATCGAAACACGACAATCTGTTATAATATTTGTACCATTATAGTACATGCTAATGATTATTAGCGCTAATAATTTAATAGTGGATGCATTATAGTACGTGCTAATGATTTAAGCGCTAATATTAACAATATTTAATTCATTCGAGCCTATTAACACTAGTAATGGAGAACAACAGAAACTACTCTTGTTTTATAGATTCTTTTGTAAGCAGAAACTAAGTATACAAGGTTGAGAAGAATATATTACATCATGGTATCTATGTCTCACTAAAAAAAAAAAAAATCTTGGCTATAATTGCCAAATCAGCATCTTAGAGGATGACAGTATATGGCTGATGTGGTCAAAATTAGCATCTCTATCATGCTTCTAATTTGGGATTATTTGGGATTTGGCACAATGTTTTCTTAGAATTATTTGGGCCGGCCCATTTTACAATTTGCTATTTGTCTTAAGCTACATGACCAAGACCAAACCTACCTCTGATGGGTCCCACCTAAGAGATTAGTTTGAATGAAAAATAAAACATATATATTCATTTATAGAATTTTGCAACTTGATCATGATTTCTATCTGGGTTTGCTTTTTGATGCATATAGTGAAATTAATGCAAGCATTTTTCCTTCAATTTTTCACAGAATTTTAACCCTAATTAATGTATTCACTTATTAAGATGGTGTTTGGTATAGTTTCCATTTCTTTGATAAACGGTATGAGTTCATTGCCATATAGGTGTTTGTGCCAAAATGTTATTTGGTAAGCATGTTTATCTAATAAATGTTTATCTTGGTTTATATGTAAGCCAATTGTTAGGGGAAGTTTAATTTTAACCTTTCCCCCAACACCAAGGTGTTTATTTACTGCTCCACTTATGTGGTGCCTAATGGTGCCTAATGGCACATATATAACTGTTAACAAACAATACAAAAACATTTATCAACCATTTTTTCTCAATTTTAAAGATAAATCAAATACAAACATTTTATAAATAAACGGAAGCCATACCAAACATCCCCTAAAAAGGTTATAAAGGAAGACTGCGGAGCAGTTGGTTTTCAAGAAAGTGAAAGTCTGGACTGATCTCATCCCCATATAGATTATTTTAAGTGGCTAAAGAAATCATAAGTTAATAAATCACTAATGTCTTCATATTGCATATGTCACATCCAAACGGGACCTCAAAGAAAATGAAGGGTGCATGGGGAATCTTATGTTACTGAAAAAAGAAGGCCATCGCCATTGGATAAACGCAACCTCAACCCCCTCCAACTCAAAAGAAGATGCTCAGAAAATCCGAACAAAAACAAATATTCAAATTACGATTATGTTCTAATTCTCTTCTTCACATTCATAATAGATCAGATTCTAGGCAACCATTAATGTCATCCTTGTACAGCTCTGTACGGTATTCATATTTCCATTTCAACCATGTGAAGCTTTTTTTTTGGCCAAATGCCCACCTCCTGTTGTTATTCCCTTCATCACCACAGAGTGACAAGCAGCTAGACCCAGAAGCAGAAGAAGCAGAAGAAGAAAAGACAAGAAAAGAAAATGGAGGGTTCTTTTCAAGCAATTATCAAATATCTAAGCGAACATTCTCCCTCACTGCACTATATAAGGAAGTCTCCATGGTAGCTCATCTCCTCACCACAGCAAATTCTGATCTCTCTCTTGCTTCAGAAACAAACCAGTCGATATATCACAGTTCTGCATTGCTTCTCTTGAAGTTGATTTATCCTCTATCCTGCTACATTGCCAACCAAAACCCAACAGCTTCTGGGACCAAAAGAAAAGAGAGAAGATCTTCTTCTTCTTCTTCTTCTTCTTCGATCTTCTTGTTTTAATTTCCTGCAGCTAGCCATTGTTGTTGCGATGGAGAGGGTGACGTCGTTGGCTTCACAGTCGCCGGTGGTGATCTTCAGCAAGAGCTCTTGTTGCATGTGTCACACCATCAAGACTCTCATCAGCGACTATGGGGCCAGCCCCACCGTCTACGAGCTGGATTTGGACCCTCGAGGGAGGGAAATTGAGAGAGCTCTGGTGAGGTTAGGATGCAAGCCGTCTGTTCCGGCGGTGTTCATCGGCGGTAGGCTGGTGGGTGGAGCTAATGAGGTCATGACCCGTCAACTCGACCGCTCTCTTAAAGAATTGCTCATTCGTGCCGGAGCAATATTTCTTTAGCAGAAAAAAAACTCTTCTGAGTTCTGACTTCTGTTAGTGTTATAGTGTTAGGATCTAAGTTAAAAAAAATACTATCTATGTTATTTGAAATAATCTATAGCAGCCCCATCGGATATGCTGTTAATATATGAGTCTAATTAACTGAGACAGACGATATATATTTATATAAATAGTATGGAGGTTCTACTCAGTGTAATAGTTGTTTTTTATTGTTAATTAATAAAGTTCCACCACTTATTTTAATTCTTTGGTGCAAAAGTATGGCAGTGCAAATGATTTGATTGCAATTTTTGTTTTAACATTCATCCCATTCTGTTTGTTTACAAAGTAAAATAAAGCGAAAACCAAATCAAAAGTGGACTAGAACTTGTATTTTCCTTATCTGCACTCTCATGCATTTGTATCAGTATTAGCGCAAATTAAATTGCACTGCTCAATATTGCACTTAAAAATTAGAAATTCATCACTGCCTATATAGTAGTGTGATATCTCGGCATCTCCCCGGACAGGCCTGAGACATGATGCAACGAATATATACATAGGTAGGTACTTTGGCAAGGTATTGATGGTCAGGTCCAACTCAAGGTTCAAAATTTCGTTATGTATTCGTCCGTATCGACTGATAAGTATCATATCAGTGGGTCTTTGATATGCAGAATACATGTGTTTCGGGGTTTTAATTTGACCTATTTCATAAGGTAGACAGGCCCAAGTCCCTGACCTATTTAAAAAGAAAAAAGAAACTAAAAAATAAATTGAGTGGACGCAAGGTTCAAAGTACCAACGAGTTGAGATATTCTGCCAATAAAACACATTTCAACCCTCTATCAACTTGATCTAACACCGCACATCTCATACATGAAATGTGCGGTGTGACATCATGTTAGTAGAGGGTTGGAAGTATTTTGTTGACAGGTGATTTAGACTTGTATCAAATCGAAATTTTGAACCTTGACCCAACTCAATTATTGTAATTGTGGTGGCATTAGTTGGGTCTATTATGTCAAGTGTACGAAGGTTAAGGTTAATGCATCTTTTCTTACTACTTAAGTACTTCACTTTGGGGCCGGAGTTTGATGTGTGTCCCTTCATCCCTTGGGCCCATCCGATTCCCTCTCTATTAGTGGCAGATTGGTTCATAGCACAAAACAAGGCCAAGAACCATCCTCCTAGGCGGAGATGCTCGATGCTGCCTTTCTTTTTTTTTTCTCTTGTCTTTGTGGGCATAAATGTGTCACACATCGAAAATAATTTAATACATAATGGAAAACCATGTGACTCATGCATTCCAAGACCATTGTTGTTCCAGATCCCTGCAAGCTTGTGAGCAGAAGAACATGGAGCTGATGAAGCATGGCGATGATGGGATAAGAGAGCATCCTTGGTGGGACAATATACCTACAGAATTTGATTACCAAAATGCCCTAGAGATGCTGCCTCAGCCAAGGGAAGGGAGAGGTTCACAAGTCAGAGGTTCAACTGGGGTCGAATCGTGATGATGTAGTATATATGCATATATATATATATATATATATATATATATATATTATGGGTTATATAAGTATTATATACAATATATTTTACAACTTTTAATATACTCAAATATGGTGGATGGCAAATGTTTTAAAATTTTAAAGCAAATGACCAGGGCTCAGGTCTTTTAATTTACATTTTATTTAAAATACATGTGTAATAAAGTAATACACAAAATAAAGAGTCATTAAATAGTACAAGTAAAGAACTGGACTAGTGTTAATTAAGTAATATTTGAAATAAGAGGTCATGGGTACAAGTCTTGTCAAATACATTTCAAAATTTCAAGTATTTAATGGCCCGAGCGGTTTCATGAAACCGGCACTAGTTCATCAGTTTTCTGATTAAACCGACCGGTTAACAGGTTTTACCGGGTTTTTAGCAAATATGGTTATTGGGGTGTGACTGAACTGGTCATTAAGTTTGGGTCACAGTTTAACTGGTCCAACCAGATGGTCCGATCCCGTTTTTTAACTCTAGGATAAACTACCCAAAGTAGCTCCATGTTATAGTCACGATTCTAGGGGATAACTTTGGTTGTTGGGGGTCAACAACCTATACTGTTAAGAGTGTTTTTGGGCTGGACATGTTTACCTATTCACGCCCATGTCTTTCTTTTTGGTCAAAATAAAATGGGGGACAATTACTAATTTACCCACTCTCATAATAACATGGCATTCCCAAAAACGCTCTCAATAGCATAAACTGTTGACCCCAACAGTCAAAGTTTTTCTCGATTCTAGTGTTCAAAACGTCCATATTGGCTTTTTGGATTTACACCAAACACAGCTTCAGGGGTTTATTTCTGTGCAGGGTCCAGCTAGGAGAGTCAGAAGTAGACTTGTTCACGGGCCGAGTTCGGGTCGGGCTTTGCCTCTTTATCAACAGAAAATGTCCAGGCCCAAGCCTGAGCCTGATCCTTATATAAGGCCCAAAGCTCAATCTGCACATAAAATGTTATATCTTTTATATAATTTAATAAACTAATATTATATTGATTTGGTAATAATTTAATAAATTAATTCATATTTCCTAAATAGTAAATTAATATTTGATAATAACTTTATAAATATATACATATTATATAATTTATTATATATAAATAATGTATATTTTTATTATATGTAATAGTATTAGGCCGGGCTTATTTGAAAAAGCCCGAGCCCAAGCCCGTGCGCCTGAAATTTTGTCCCAAATGGACACCCTAGACCTATCAAATAATTGGTAACAATCCTTGTTTGTTTGCAGTGCAATTTCATTTGCATTGGAAGAAAGAATGCAAATTATGATTCATTTTTTGTTTTGATTCTTACATTACTTTGATTCAGGATTTATTTTACTACATCCACACCAAAAAAACAAACAAACAAAATAAGGGTAAAAGTTAAAACAAGAATTAATCAGAATTTGCATTCAAATCATTCGCACACCCATTCTTTAAACCGGTGCAAATGAAATTGCACTGGGCCCTAAAGTTGAACCTTTAATTTGCTTACCAAAATCACCTTCGTTTCATGCAGAAAGTCAAATTTTAAATTTCAAGTATCTATATCATTTTTCTCGGGTACCCGCCAACCATGCAGGAGATTGGACCCGATTTAGACAAATCTAGAAGCCGATTATATAATAACTTTGAGTTTGTTACCTGGTAACCGGGTACTGTATTACCCATTGACATGTGACGGAATCCAACAGTGGAGAAGAAAGCGATCTGAGATAGATGTTGAGCTGCACTGCAATTTTGCAATCTCACTACTCTGTCGTATCCACAAAAGCAATAAGAAAGTAAATGATTATAAGAAATGGGCGTCAGCTTTTGCTCTTTAATTTGTCTCATACAAATCCTTTTTCCTTTTGGTTTGTACCAATCTGTATCTCACTAGTTCTAATCTGCTTTGACATTCCTCCTCCCACTCGCACCACCAACTCTTATAGGATACCTTTATGGCTTTCTCTTCCACTCCAAGTCATCATATTAAACTGGTGGTGGTGTTGAACCGGATTGGAAAGATTGGTTTGCATTTACATGCATGGCTTTGCATTATTTGGGCCCAAAAACCCGACAATGAATTCATATCTTCTGTAAATAAGAGCTCTATACACTAGCATTCAGTCGCACATTGAGAATATCTCTTATACATATACGTTAAATTCATGGGAAAAAGTTCCCACAGTACAATTAAATTCTCATACTTACAGAATATGTGCAGAGTTTTTTGCTTGCAGGGAATCCTATTGTCCTACAAATTGGCCTTTTAGCTTCAGTTTGGGCCGCCCAGTTGTGAGCTTTGGACTGATGCTCTCTCTCTCATCTCATCTCATCTCATCTACACACTTGGGTATAATTTGGCTTTATCATGAAACCATGCACTCCTGCCCAACATTCCAACTGGTGACCAGAAGCAGAAGCCTCTAAAAGTGGAGTAGCAATGGAATCTGAGATTTCCATATCTGGCAAGGGATGAGATCTTATCTCAAAATTTCCAGAATTTGGTAGAACTCTTTCTTACCTTTTTGTTTTTTGCTTTTTTGTGTATTCTAGTTGTAGAACCCTAGAGCAAATTAGCTGAATGGATAGAACTTAGCAAAATGAGATATGGGCTTCAATTCGATGTCACTTTGCATTAGAATCTAGGCCTATGACTCTATCAGTCCATTGGATCAAAATTCGGGTATCTCATTTGGGTTAGAATCCAAGTCCTGTTTTCTCCCCCAAAATTGGGTTGTATCTTTTCTCAATTTTCAAATAGCATTGTATGTGACCATTTTGATTAATACTCTCATCTCAATCCATCCCTTGTTGGGGATAGGTTAGGATGCTTAGCACCTTCCCCAGTTCATGATTCATTACTTTTCCAATTAGAGTTATGCCAAAAGGTTTCTTTAAGGGTTCCATTGTCCCAATTCTCAATGAGTGCTAAATCTCTTTCTTTTTGCCTTCATAAACATCTACTTGAGTTCACATTATGCATTCATACCATTACATCGTGTACAAATAATTACTTTAACAATGGATATAGCACTAAACATAACAGAATGGTGAAACATGATTTAATGAGGGTAAATTTGGCCTCCAATGGCATCATGACATATGGCATCTTAGAATAGTTGGATGACACACAGATACCACCTAAGCAATGATTTGGAGTCCCAAATCACGGTTCATCTTCGCCCCAACCTAGTGACTTGCCTTTACAATTGATTTGGCGACCTCAACCACAACTTAGGCCGCCTAGAAGCACTTCGTCCAAGGCCGACCTGTAGCATCTCGTCACTGGCCGAAGTGACCTCGACACGAGGAGCGACATCCCTCAAAGGCTTGCCAACCTGATTGAGGTCTAGGTGGAAATCTGTAAGACGTGCTCGCCGACCAATTCTGCAAACATGACCCATCACTACCGGGTCTCTCGAAAGTTGGCCCCCGTACCGAATGTTCTGGAGGAGACCGAGCAAGGCGCAAAGACGGGTCTACATGTATGGCTACCTCTGTGGGCTTCGGACTAGTCAAGCATGACCTCCCGGAGAACTCAGACGCAAAGCGAGAAGCCCACGCCAAGCAACACCTATATAAAGGCCTAACCTCCAACCTGACAAGAAAAGAAGTAAGACGCACGATTATTTGCTCACTAGCATTCTAGCAC